TATATATATATATATGGAATGGTTCAAATATAAACTAGTCTTGGTGTGAGAACCGCATTTGATGCTATTTTTAATATCACATGGTGCTATCATTTTCACAAGTGTTAATATAAATTGTGTTGCTATTTTTAAGAAAGTAGATCCATGTTAAAAATAGCACTAAAACACAATCAATAATAGCACTACGTACAACTATAAATATCGGTTCTCACGATTCTCACGCTAGGACTTGGTTCTTATTTGAACCACATTTTAGTGATAAGAGTAGATAATTCAACGATCAAAAAAATTAAAATTTTACACTAACAAAGGGCATTATGAACATTTTTCCCAACACACCCATCCTCGTCCCTCTACTCGAGGACCACACCCCCACCAACCCAACCATCCCCACTATAACGCCTCGTTATTTTATAAGAGGAAATACCGAATATTTTTCAAAAATCAGAGTTTATTTTTCACAAATTACTCTAAAAATTTATTTAACGGGCATTACTCAACTTATCTCAATTAATCATCTTAAGTCTCGACCTAAGCAAATGGGAATAAACCATCCCAAAACATCATCACAAGACAAACGAGTTAAACATGCCTCAAAGATAATATCAAATCCTTACCAACGTCAACAAATCTCCATTTCATAATTTCAAAGCATGCAAAATATTCAAGTACATAATCCAGTCTCAAATTCAATAGTTTAACATGTCTGGCAGGAGATAATAATAATAATAACAATGCGGAAGCAATAACAAATCATAAGCAACAAATAATCTGACCCCGCCTCGCTCGCCTTTCGTCGCAGCAACTAGCTCAACCTGAAAAGGGGAAAATAGAGGGAGTGGCAACCAACATGCTCACTGTGATAATACCATGTAGTCTATTCCATATAATGACTTAAAATCATAATCGCAGCATGAACACAAATCGTCCAGCCTACCTTCTAAACAGCCCTACGCTCATGTGATCACATCTAAACCGTCGGATACCCATCAACGGGAGCTAAACCGTCGGGACCCCATCAATGGGAGAATACTCTCTATAGGCTAACATAGGAGAAAGTCAAAACCCCATCAACGAGAGAACCTCTCATAGACTAACGGTTCACACGCATACATTGATTATCAAGCCAAACAATTATATCAAATAACATACACGGTAAAGTTTATCAACACCTACCTGATCAATTGAGATAGACAAATACACAATGATCAGCACAAGGTAGGCAGAGGGCTCGACTTCTCGTTAATCTACAGTTAATAATATTTATTTTATAATTATAAGTGATAGCAGACAAGGCAAGATAAAATCAGATAATCAAATAATTCACATAAGGCAGATAAGACAAGAAAAAACTGATACTGACTAACTGGACTGATCTAACCGGCCGTATACTGATCTATATAACTCATATTTGAAGGGACTATGAATCGGTCTAAGGGTTCCCAATTACCTTAACTATATAAGGGGAAATGGGCTCTTAAACTCCATGATTTTTATAAAATCACACATAACTCATAAAATTGTGAAACTAATAGTTAAATAGTCCACATATCCAAGTATCTCCCACAACAATTTCAAGTCAAAAGCTTAACAATAGGCAGATCAACTATTCCGCTAAACATTGCTCATAAACAGGAGATAGACACCTACTACTTCAAGAATTTCTATAAAATTATGTACTCTTTTAAGATGAAAATTGGCAAACATATCACAACTCATGCAAGAAATACTCTAAAAAAGTTCAAATCAAAATCATGAGTTTATGCTGAGAAAATTCAAAATCAATTGAATACTGACATGCTGAGACTCAAATATTTTTATTTCACTCAATACACATCATCTGGGGCTGAAATATTTTGGTCATACTCTCAACACATATGTAAAGATTCTATAAAAATGTTAGGTCAATATCATGATCATAGTCTGAGATATAATCGTTCAAAACCGCAGCTAAAACAGGCAGTTCTAAAACAGATTAACATCTCTCTTTTCAGTTTGATCTACAACATGCTATACTTAACAAAAAGGTTTGAAATCTGACATGTTCAATTGAAACACATATAGAAAGATGTCATAAAAGTTTCAGATTAATATCATGGTCGAAGGCTGAGATATAACAATCTGAAGTTACACTTAGAAACATGAGTTATGAATCGAATTAACACATGAAAATTCAAAATACCTTAGAGCATGCTATAGACCTCAAAACGACCTGAAATTTGGCAGGCTTAACCTTAACACATACAAGAAATACCCTATAATATTTCAATTAAAATGGACAAGTGTACCTAGGGAAAAAATCAATTCAAACTTGCTGCAGCATCATGAATTCGAAAAATTTCATACAGTCATCTCAAAGCATATTCTCAAACATAAATCCCTAACTTAAAGCCACCTCAAATACACATGAAAGCAATATATATACACATATTCTCAGCCCAAAATGGGGACTAAAAGGGGCTTGGCTTGATTACCTTTCACCGGGCTAAAATTGAAAAGAGAGATGGTCTCTGTTTTGAGAGCTTCCGGTCCCTCGGTGTTAGGCTCAGTTTCGAATGCTTGAAATGGCTTCAAGGGTGATGCTAAAGGTCTCAAAGTACTACTAGGACGTGGTGAAATGGGCGACTTGCTGCTACACCTTCTCTCCCGTCGATTGGAGCGTGCGGCGCTCGGCGATGGTGTACGGTGGGATTAATGATATATTTTGGTTTTTTTTCTCCGAACTTTCTAAGGAAATTGAAAGGGGAGATGGGGCAATGGATGAATTTCTTAATGCTTGTTTTCTATTGCTAAGATGCCACCTTTGGGCCGAGCACAATTGAAAGCGAAGTCTCATTTTTTTCCTTTAGATAGAAAAGTACCTACTGGAGGTTGAGAGCTTTAGGGAGATGAAAATTTCTCAGATTTCTTCTAAGTAAATGAGAGGCTAAATGGCGTGCTTATTAGGAGGAAATGGGAGGATTGCCTTAAGCAATTCTGAGGCTAATCAAAGAGACATGAAATGCCATAAATAAAAGATATAATGGCTTAATTTGCTCCTCTCCAAACGGTCAAGAAAGCAATCCAAATGCTGGTCCAAAGTTGCCATACTTAGCTCCCAAAGAAAATTTGAATTTCAAAGGTTAAAAGACGTTTTAAATTTTCCTAAGGCAAAAATTGGTTCACAAGGCGCATAAGGCCGGTTCTAAGGCTATGTTTCAGCCAAAATGGGAAATAACTTGAGTTAAAATAATATTCTCAAGGTTCAAATTAGAATGACTCAAAAACAAGTTGAAACGGATAAGAAACGATTCTATGCGATTGAATCGAACGTTGCCGAACAATTGTTTATTGTGTTTTTGTGCTTTTTTTTATGTACTTTTATGTGTGTAGTTAGTCGGTTTTAGGATTATTTTACTGTTGATCGGTCCATTTTATTGTATTTCGTGTGTTTTTATGTCTTTCTTTTTATTTTATATTTTTGGCGTACTCTTCTGTGTTTTTTGGTGTATTTTCAGGTTTATTCCAAGGACGAAGGGTTGAGTTGAATCGAATTTCGAGAGATGAGAACTTTCCAAAGAGTTCCGAGTCATTTTCGAGAAATTTCGAGTCATGTCGTATGAATCGGTTCCATCCCGAGTATGTCGAGTCGTGTGATCAAAGTTCCAAGCTGGCCCGCACTCGCGACCTCGCGCAAGACCCGGCGACCTCGCAAGTGTCGCAGGCCTGCACTCGCGACCACACGGAACGCACCGTGACCTTGCGAGTGCCACAGGTGCACGCCAACTCCTCGTGGATGATCCGCGATATCGAGAGTGCCATCTACTTGCACGTCCGCGCACGCAAAAAGTCCCGCGAGCTCGAGAGTGTCTTCCTCCTGCACGTCCGCGCACGCGAAAAGTCCAGCGAGCTCGAGAGTGTTTCTACTCCTCGCGCCGCACCATGCTGAATCCGCGCCGGCATCCATGCCACTAATGTTCGCACCCAGCGGAAATGCCTGCGACCTCAAGAGTGATTTAGTAAATGTTCATGTTTCTGCTGTGTGTTTGTGTTGGAGTATAAATACATTTTGGTCCTTTGTATTTGGAACACCTAGATTTCATTTGCTACTTCCTACGTTAGGAAATGTTTTTCATTTTAGATTTCTCTCTAGATTCTCTCTAGGTCATGATTTTCCGGCGACTTCTATTTTTATGCAATTTCGTACCTTTTTGTTCCGATTTCGATCAAGCACGCATTATAAGTGTGAGTACTTAATTTTAAGGCTTATAATTTCGACCTTTGCACCTATTTGCTATCTCGTAAGTAAAAGTAATTTAGGGCTTGCTCGTCTTATGGATTATGTTGCTCGTTTAGTTGTTTTCCGTGTCCTCGTTGTTTTTGAGCTTGTCTATTGTGCTTGAGATTAGTTGGAGTTTGAATTTCTACAAGAAACATCGTGACTTTGATATTGAGCTCGGTTATTTCGTCGTAGGATTTTTGGCTTTAGCACTTAAGTATAGTAGATGGAGTTCGTTTCTCTTGCTTTCACTTTCTTTACTTGATTTTTAGTTCACCTATTTAGTTAGCAGGGTTTTTAGTAAAATTGCTTGCTTAATTGATCGTTTGCCTATTTCCTTAGTTAGTCTAGTTTAAAATCAATCCCCAATCATTGAATAGGATGTTTAGGATTTATTTTCTTGTTTTGTGCTTTTGGGAAATTGAATAGCAAACAAAGCTCCGAATAACCTTCCTTAGAGAACGACCTGAGTCGGGTAGCTTGGTTACCTCATACCCACAATTTTATACTAAACAACAATTACAATACTAATTAAATAAATTCCAACTAATCCATACACATGAAATAAAAACTAAATTCATCACAAAATAATACAAGAAATAGGAAATTAAATCATGCAAGGCATACAAACAATTTACAATAATAATCGAGCAAGAAATTAAATATCAGGAAATAAAGACAATAATAATATAAAATCAAGTATATGGATAATAAATCACGGAATATCATATAAAACGAAAGGGGCGCTACACCCACTCTCCTCTTTCTCCCCTCTTCTCTCTCTCCCACCCACTCCCCATCTCTAAAATCGTTTCCCTCGGCTACAACTATATCCAGTGCACTGGCCCTGCCAAAGACGACCACACCCTCGTCACCGGTGATAATGACGGGCTCGTCTTCGTCAGCCGGATCTTGCACAAGGGACCCAGCGCTTCTGTCCCCTCCCAGTAGCACCGCCTCAAGCGGGCCCTGTGCAGGTACATAGTTCGCATCACATGCCTCTAGGTCATCCAACAATACATGATGGCCTTGAGCAGGTCAGACAACTGCACCGTCATTGTGAGGGACCTGAGCTCCCCGCCTTTGTCCACCAGCTGACAGAGTTCCCGGCACCCGTCTCGACCATGAACGCCAATGACCTCCTGGGAGATGTAGTATTAGCCGGCGATGTCATGCTTGTCGTCTGGAGCATCAATGGAAACTGCCTGTCGATGCTAATTACAAATTTTTTGAGGACTTCCTTTTAAAAATTAGATAAGTCCTTGTATATATTGCAAATTTAGTTCATGGATTAAATTTATAATTTAATAAATGTTGATAATTGCACAATAATTTTCAGCGCAATGCACAATACCACCTTTGGATATACACATTAGAAATATTTGCGCTTCAAAATATAAAATATTTTTAGACTAAATGCACAATAGTGCATGTGAGAATGCCCATTTGCGTAATAGTATATTATGTGCAATGAAATAATGCTCCCACGTGAAAAATCAAAAGTAAGCATAAATGCAACAATGCCACCGCTCATTTGACCAAAGCTAGAGCCTTTAATCGTACCTGGAGTGTTGATATATCACATCTGCCACTACAATCCATTCTTATTTCTTTCATTATCACTCATTCTCATTTAATCCTACTTCTACATACATATATACCTGCAAAAAATTGATTCAATACTTTCAATTTTTTGCATTTTTTTTTATTAGTTTTACATATTGATTATATTTTTTCTACATTAATCAATCCTGAAATGTAACTTTACACCACATTCAACCATCAATATTCAGTTAACTATAAAAGGACCTTCACAATACACATAAAAGACAAGTGCTACTATTCTCTCTCTACAAACTTTTCTCTTGAAAGGAAAAAGTAGAGCAGTACTTCGGCAAGTTTCTTTCGGCCTTACCATGTCCCTCAGTCGTCTCTAGGCTTCTGGGGTTGGCATCATGTCTCCAACATGTCAAGAGCTTCGCCTTCTCGACTAGTTTTGGTGTCGGGCCTCGCGTTAATTTTCTTTATCTTCACGGAGCTATTGACCGGGGAGACCGAGCATTTGTGGGACAGTGACGAGCCTTCGAGTCAGACCCTCAGTTCGAAGGGCCGTGGATCTACTAGATCTAACTAGACGACAACAAATTTGAATTTCCAGTCTCTTACTCTTATTTGGGGTAATTTGGTGTTTGGCGTTTGTAGATTTAGGTCGTGATTTGAAATATGTTCTTTGTCTGAGATTCTTCATAAATCTTCAATGGCAAAGAGAATAAAAAATGAGGCCAAATCTATCAACAATGAAGACTAAGCATGATTAACACGTCCCAGATCTCGTCGAACATCTCAATTTAAAGCACCCGATCGTAAGGTCGTCTAAAAGAATCTACAACTTCAGAAAATTCAAGGTGAGAAATTCCAAAAAATCGACTCTCAAGACAGCCAAACTTAGTCCACGGAGACGACGGTTTTGAATGTCAAGGTGTATTATGTTTATCATGTTCCAAAATTGTTTATAAGTTGTTTATCTTATGTATAACAACATTTAATTTGGTTTTTGCAGTCATTCCTTGAACTTTCTTAGATTTTGTTTACCTAATGCATATATTTACCATAACTATATCGCAATTGTGTGTATATATATATGTTCTGTCAATTGCCTCAATATTTAGAACTGACAGATCATGTTTATCTGATGTATATATACAGTATAATATATATGTTCTATCAATTGCCTCAATATTAGAAACTGCCAGATCGTGTTTATATTATGTATATATACCGTATGTATGAACATATATTAAAAACACCAACACGAAATTACCTTCAACAGTTTTGATCAAAGGAGATTTCACGAAGAACAATTTTTTTCATTTCCAATCCTGATCAGAGCTTTATTTTTTCAGTAGGATGGACAACTATTTTTGAATTCAAGATGTTGACGAACAGACAATTCCATTTTAAATTTCGAATTCTTGAATCCCATAATTCTAGGTATCATATTTGATATTTTTTTTCTTCAAATTTCCATTTTATTGCGGTTCATTCGTCGAGATTAATTGCATGTTTGATTTATGGAGAGAGAAACCGATCTTTAGGTGAGAGAAAGTAATCTCGTAGATGTTAAAAAAAATCACATCCAAACACCCTTTGGATTAAAGTTTCTTTACTACGTAGATATGTAACTATATCTTACAAGGACTCTATACATGTAAATTTCCTTATATTATAAGTATAAACTCAAAAAAGTACACTCCATGTGTCAACTAACGCTATCCCTTTAAAAACACCACAAGTCTATGAGTAAGCCCAAATTTCAAATGGACTCAATTCTCCAATTAAGACAAATAAAGCTAGTGAACAATAAAACACCAACACTAGAAACAAAGATGTTAAAAGACATGGGGTTGGCAAATCACTTAAAGAATTATTTTCTGCTACTTTCCCTCTCTATCATATTTTTCGCAGGAAGGAAAAAACAGAGGGNCCCAAACAGTCGGCTGACGGTGTTGAACCACCTCTCCAACCATGTACTGGCCGGTGTAGGGTGGCTTTCTCCTTTCCACCCCACCTTTCGGGTGTTAGGGACCTGAGCTCCCTCACCTTTCTCCACCAGCTGACAAAGTTCCCGGCACCCATCTCGACCATGTACGCCAATGACCTCACGGGAGATGTAGTGACAACCGCCGATGTCATGCTTGTCGTCTGGAGCATCAATGGAAACTTCCCGACGGCGCTAATTACAAACTTTTTGGGGACTTTCTTTTAAAAAGTAGATAAGTCCAAAGGACTTATCTATATTGTAAATTTAGTTCATGGGTTAAATTTATAATTTAATGAAGGGTAAATAATTTTTTGAATCCTGTACTATACGCGTTTTTGGAGATTGCAACCTAAAGTTCTTTTTTTTTTTAATTTGCAACCTATAATACACGTTTTGTCTGTATCGCAGCCTAACGGCCATCGGAGTTCATATTCCACCGGAAAAGCGAGCGTGCGACTCACACGTTCGAAACTTGAGGGTAAAATCGCCAATTGAAGTCTGCGACTGTTCGGTATCCCACAGAGTAAATATATGATTAATTTTCAAAGTTTAACACAAAATCCCCAATTCAAAACTAAGAAAACTAGGGTTCTCCTCTGCGATTTTCAATCTCGACATCCAATCTCAAACTTTCCTTCGATTTAAACATAAAAATTGTGAATCAAACTTGATCGCGATCTTGATGGGCTGGAAGGTATGCGACGACAATGAGAATCTTCCACCTAGAAGACTGTGCCCTGATTACGGTTTGTTTTTCGAACCCTAACTTTTTTTTTTTTTTTCTTGTCGAATTTGATGCAATCTTTTTATATTGGTAGTATGTTTGTGATTATCTTGAGTTTCTCATTTCTCATGTGGAGACAAACTTTTTGAATTTGCCGACAGTCCATGGATTAAAATATGGAAATTTGAATTTTGTAGGAAATGTGGTCCAGGATATATTAGTTTAGTATCTTATTCATTTTTTTTAATCTAATATTGATTTGTGTAATATTCTTGTTCCTTCAGGTCCCAGTTCACAATTGTTTACCATTTCATTTCATTATGGTGGGCAATTTCTGGAACTTGGTGACACTTGTTACAGTGGTGAGCACATGAGGGTAAGGCACATTGACTATTGTGACCCTGATGAACTCTCACTGATTGAAATATTCTGTATGGCTTCTGAAATTGGGATAAAAGATGTTAAGTATGTGCATTGTAGTAGAAATGGTGTAAATGATTGTCGGCCTGTGTTTGTCTTGCAAAATGACATGGATGCCATAAATGTTGTTAATTGGGTTGATAATAATAGAATGGTCGGTTTATATGTTGAACATATGGAGGGCACAGGGATATCTACTCAACCTTCTGATGATTTGCCTTCTGTTAATTTGCCTTCTGTTGATTTGCCTTCTGCTGATGAACCCTTGCCATTTGTGGGGGATAATGGGGATGATTTAGATGATATGATTGACAATTGGGGGTGGTAACGCAAAACACTCCGACCGGCTTGGAATCGGTTTGCTTCCTTCTTCCTCGCCGATAGAACGCCGCGTCCCTGCACAGAACTCTCACACCGGTGGGGTTTTCCGGTGAAGAGCCTCCGATGCTTAAGTCAGTATATGTTTGTTCCATTTTCCAAAGTAAAGAATGGATAAATCGTAAACCCTAAGAAAAGACCCACTCCCATATATATAGGAGTGAGATACCTGCCCTAAGAGCTGCCCGGATATTGGTGAGCTGTCCTACCCTCGCTGCCCGTCCGCACACACACAGTGTGCGTGTTGTCAGAAATGTCAGGGGTGTCAGAGGTGGTTGTTGCCACTATCACTCTGCACCAATACGTTTTCGCCATGTGCCCCCCTTTGAGCTGAGAGGAATTATTCCCTTGCGCAAACCGTTGAGATCTCCTGACATCACTCACGCGCCCACTCCCGTTCAGGTCACGCTCTCGACTGCTTCCTTTCTGCTGCGTGCTCGATCTGATCGAGCTCCCCCTTACTAAATCGATCCTCGACCAGCTCTGCTATTCTGCTCGATCTGTTCTGTTTCGGTCGATCATTCTTCAACCAACGTGGTTTTCTCCACCCTATGCCTGCCTGACCGACATGATGGACCGGTCTGCTCCTTAGTCGTATAATATCCCATATCATCTAGTCCCCCCCACTCTGGTCGAGTCTGAATGACTCGATCCAAGAGTGGATTCGAGCTGTCTTCTTCGTTCTACTTATTTTTTCGATCATTTTTGTTGGTGTCACCCTCTGGTCTCCTCCCTCGATCACTTTTTCATTGATGTCGCCCTCTGGCCTTTCTTCTCGATCACTTTGTTGATGTCGCTATCTGGCCTTTCCTCTCGATCACTTTGTTGATGTCGCTACCTTTCCTCGACCACGTGGTTTCTTTTATCGCACGCTATGATTGCTTTGTATTGTTTTTTATTCCTTTTTATACTAGCGTGATTTCCACCTGCCACATGTCTTCCTTCTCTGTACTTTTAATCATCACGTCTTCTCGCTATTTGTGTCGCCTCTTTAATTGTTTCCGCTGTTGGATCTTCTTTTATCTAACGGTCATATTCCCCCAACTCTTCACCTTATTCATCTGTACTCCTATAAATACGATACTTAGTCATTTTTGCTGCTTTTCTCACCTTTGCGATTTTGAACATTCTTTGCGCTCCACACTTTCTCTCTGCAAACTGTTCTTGCCTACTCTCAACGCCTGTTCAAGCAATTTCCAGCAACCACTTCTCCACCGCGAGCATGAGTAAGTCCCCTGTGCTCCGATTTTATATTTACATGTGTTTATTTTGTCAATTTTTCGATTTTCCTGCTGTTTCTCCCTTTTTCCCAATTCTTCTCGCTTCGCTTGCGGCAAAAAACCCACCTTTCTTGCTTTTCGAAACCCTAATTCCTCTTCTCTTCCCCTCAATTTTTTGTTCTACTTTTCAGATTCCGCTGATTCTAACGCACCGAGCCATCAGTTCAGTGAGGATGAGACAAGCGCATCGTCTTTTCCTGTTCGCCAGCCTATTCCTCACTCGCCTTCTCGCTCCGTTGAGGAAATCTACAATCCCGTTCCCCTCAGTGTTCTACGCCCTTCTGATTACACCCCACCTTCTCCTCCTCGCCGATCTACTCGTCCGATTGATGAATCGGATGGGGATACCCTCGATCACATCCCCCTGAATCGTCGCCGACCGGCGTTTGGGGCCTCTGATGCCGTTGAAGAGGCCCTCGATGCCGCCGAAACCGCTGCTGAGAAAGACGAAGACAATATTCCTCTTTCTCGCCATTCCATTTTTGCTCGGGCTGCCTCTTCATCTATCCCCGCCTCTACTTCTCCTAAGGCTGCTCCTAAGAAGGGTAAGTCGGCTAAGGTGTCCACCTCTTCCAAAAAGGCTTCTTCTTCCTCTCGTTCCCTCATAGCTGGCTGGTTGGATGCCGAAGAAGTTGGCTATCCTACCAATTGGGCTTTTTTGTCCCCAAGCTCTCGAGACACCTATGACCACCCTCCCCAAAACTGTTATACTTTCTTTGAAATTCAATTTAAACTTGGCATCCGCTTTCCCTTAAGCCAGGATTTGATCGATCTCTGCAAGTGGTTCGACCTACCCTTGAACCAACTTCCGCCTAACGCCATCCGATTTATTACCGTCTTCATCATCCTTTGCCGCGTTCGTCTAGGTCGACTTGACCTGGATTTTTTCCATTACTGTTATATTCCCTCAAAACATGCTCAGGGGATCTACCTCAAGAGCCACAACGATGTCCATTTCATTTCGGACACCCCTTCAAACGTCCCCAGATGGAAAGATAAATTCGCTTTTGTCGAGCCCAAACCTGCTTTCCCTTGGGCCCCATCTCCTTGGCTCACGGAACTCCCTCGGGAATACTCCGTACCTTCCACCAACGCACTTTTCGACCAACGGATTGCAGTATGGAATAGCAAGCCCGTTGCGTCAAAGACCCTTCTTGAGGATGAGAACCTCCTGCATTTTTGTGGGCTGCTTACCCACAAATCGTGTCCTCTTCATAGTCAAAAGACTTTTGATCTTATCCGGATCGAGGGCGACCCATGTATGTATTTTTTCTAAATAGGCTTGAGCATCACCATATTTGTCATCTATATTATGTATTCATTGTGGTTTTGACCTGCGCGTACATTTTTTGCAGAGATGCCCACTATTTCTGTGCCTAGAAGGAAGGCTCCCCTGAAGAAGAAAACTGCTGTTGAGGGATCGAGTTCCAAGCCTGCTGACTCAACCGCCTCACAACCTGTGCGCTCGACCTCACCTCCTCCTAATGTAACTGCCGAACAACCATCTTCGGTCCAGCCTCCCGCTGACCAGCCAACCGAGCAATCCGACCAGCATCAAAGGCCCTCCTCTCCTCCGCGCGAACCTTCTCCGGCGCGTTCTCCTTCGCACAACCAGCCTATCCCAATCATACACGTTCCCGCTTCTCCTGAGCAGACTCAGCTCAGAGAGAATCCGCTTAAGCGTCCCCTTGCTGCAGGGGATGAGGATGTCGGCAAGCGCCGTCGCGTTGAGGAAACCGCGCTGTCGATTACCACCTTTGATGGCGTAAGATTCTCGCATTTTCTCCGGGACGTTCTTCCTCCCGTCGACCATCCCACCGACTGCTATAACGATGGTCATACCCTGCGAGATCGGGGCTATCGGTTTGCTCACTGGCTGGCTCAGGTGATCTTCTATGACTTATCACCTATCTGTTTTACTTCATCTTCCTCCCTTCGTTAGTGTTCTTAACACTTTCTTCTACACACCTTTGTAGGGAATGGTTGAGCTCGCGCCATTGATCGAGCAAACGTTGGCAAGTCCGGGTCGATCTATCTCGGCCCTCGAGCGGAGTAATCTTCGTCTTGCCACTCAGCTACAAGAAACTATTGCCAAGGCAAACGATCTCCACGAGAGGTTAAAGGAGTCGGCTGCCCGTAATAAGGCTCTTTCTGACGAGAAGGATACGCTTGAGGGAGCGCTGAAATCCTTCGAGGAGGCTCTCTCGGCGGAGCGAGCCGAAAAAGAGGCTCTCCGAGTTTCCCAGAAGGCCCTTGAAACCGCGCTCGAGGAGGAAAAATCAGCTCGAGCACGTGAAAACGTTGCTTTTGAGCACAGGGCGAAGCCCTTGATCGACGAGGCTGTCCTTCGAGCCCGGCGTATGCTCATTCACGCAACCGCTGGCCAACGCTTCCTGCAGAATTATCGTGAACAAGTGGTG